CGCCTATGGGTTCTAAGGAAAACACTTGCGAAAAATGGTTGGCCAGAGCTTCAGCTGTTTCTAGATCAATATTACATAAGTTTCCATCCGTTTTTTTTCAAGCGGTACTGATACTTTGGAAGATAGAGAGCATCTTATGTATTTAAATAGCTTCTTAGGGTTATCGCAACTAGCGATATATTCTTTGTATTCTCTTTTTGCGTTATCAATAACATTGATTAAATCGTTTGCGAAACGTCGATTGTTAACAAAATCATAATGTCTTTTGGTTGCTTTAAATTTTTTCCACATATTTTTCTTATGTTTAATTAAGGTTAAAAGTTGTCCATTGATCCAGGGTTTTAATTTGTTCTAAGGACATTTTTTGTTTTTTGTGTTAGCCTGTTACATGTTGATTTTAGTTTTAGAATAATTAAATAGGTATGGCATTTAAAACACATTCTTAGTATAAAGAATACTAACTTTTAATAAAATATTGATTTGTCTTGAATAAGAACCTTTGGTAATTTAACGGATACAGGTATTTAAAATATATCCTTAATCCACATCATTTTTAAAAAGGCATTGCTTTGTTTTTGAATAAAACTTTTAATATGATTCAATTCATTGAACTTGTTGTCTTACCTTTTGCTTTTAAGATCCTGATGGTTTTATGAGCAGAAAACGTGTAGCATAATGACCTGCGAGTATGCTGCTAGTATGTGGTAGTTATTTCACTTAGTTTTCACCCCTTTTAAATCACTATTTAGTTGTATTTTACGTTTGTTTACATTTTATTTCAATAATGTTTTGACATTAATTATTATATCCGAAATTCGGGTTATCTTCTTCTTTCTAGGAAATACCTGTCGTCTAGTTTGTACGGTCCGATAGCCAATTCTTGTTCCGTGGTACGAATTTGACAGATAACATTAATGGGATATTTGGTGTTGTGCTATTTGAAATCAATACCATTGATTGTCCATGACGGCATATTATATTAGGGTACTTTTCTAGGAAAATTGGGTTTAATACTTAACTATAGTTAGGAATAATATTTTATTAGGATGTTAAATACACACATAAATACATTTGGGGTTGAATTAGATTACTTTAGATAAGTTTTCTGGTAACTTGTGGCGATCACCGGAAGTGTGATTTCCAAAATATGCATTGTCATATCCTACTTGTTGAAGCCATCTTGACTTCTGACAAAGGGGTTAAATACGCCGTAGCCATGAGGTTCGTGGTCAATTATTATTCGTCTGCTTGCTGGGTAAGGTACCGGGGGTACGTGTTTGAGTTTGACTGTTCGCCTGGGTCGTCGCGAAGCCCGTGTATAATACCGAAACGTTCGTCGCCGATAGTGATCGGATTACAAATCACGTGGCACAATCGCACAAGGGTAGGTACCCTAAACCATTTTTGGAAGTCTTACGACCGCGGTGAGCGAAGTCTGCTAACGGCCCGCACTACCGACTTCCTACATCAGATCTCCAGAGGGTTGTTGTCAACGACCTCGTTTGATTTCGTCCGCAGTCGCTGTGCTGTACCAGTGTTCCGGAAAATTCCAGACGCATCAGGGTGATGCGCTGTGATTGTTACGTAGTCCAGTTTTTAATCATTTGATGTCCTGCAGTCCTACAAGTTCTAAGCCAGTTTCCTGTCCGGGGTAATCGTAACCAACACCAGTGGTGGAGAGTTCCATCGCTTAATGGGTTTCTACCAGAAATCAGGTATTTGAAAGTCTGTAAACCAAGGTATGAAAGACCTTCAGTCTAATAAGTGATAACTTCTGTGAATCTAATAAATTTATATTTTGATTTATCATTTAACTTTTATTTATAAGAATAATTCTTTAATCGTATTAATTGTGCTTAAACTTAACCTGTTGTAAACCTTAGTGATCACGGGGTAATATTAATTGTGTCTTTTACTCTAATAATTTTGAATTCAGAGAATTTCTCTTTAACTTTAGTCATTTTTCTTGTCATTTTAAATCATTTTGTATCATAAAAAAGCTCTAGGTAAATGTATACCTATCTATTTGATCTATGAAATTTTGTAAATACCCGTATTCTTTTTAATAGTAAATGCCATAATACCGACTCAGGCGTTTTATTTATTTAACTTTTAAGATAAACAGTATTGCTAACTATTTAATGACCCACACCTTTTGTCCCGACAGCTAGCCGAAGTGGTCTTCTTCTCTAAGCTCTAGGAGAACACTATAACCTTTTTTTTGTAACGGTTTTTCTAAATTCTAAATAATAATATACAAAATTTAGGAGGTTACCAACTAACACCGATTTTTGAGTTATAGTAAACAAACCCCGTTATAAGCCTTCACAATTTCAGATATCTTTGTATGAAATAGTGTCCACATATCTTCTACTAATACGGTACTTCTAAAAAATTGATTCCAATCAATTTCGGAGAGGATTCTCTTTACTTTATTAAGGTTTGTGACACTATCGGGATTAGAGGTTTCTATGTTAACTTGCATATTAAATATAAATAACGCCATGGTCAGATTTCCCAATAGGTGAGTGGACAGATGGAGAAATTAGAAGTTGGTTGTCATTTGTTAATATAATGTCTAGACTGGAAGGTTCTTGATTTAAGCGAAAGCGTGTAGGTTATTATAAAATTTATAAAGTGAGAAACAGAGTTTTGCGATACTTCAAGACCTACAGTAAGGGGTAAGGGGCCAGGAAATTTCTGGAAAGTTGAAATCTCCAACCACCACAAGATTGTCATGGGAAATAGATAAGTTTAAAAGTACCTCAAAAAGCTGTTGGTCGTTTTCTGATAAAGTTTTCTTTGGAGAACGATGACGATATAAATATACCAGAGTGGTTGAGAGAGATTTGTATGATAGTTTTAACGAAATTAAATCTATATTGGGAATGTTGATATCTAAGGCGGTGACAGAGTAAGTTGAAGTGCAGACCCCTCCACCTGGTTATTTGCGCGGTAACTTCTGTTAATTGTAAATTCAGAAATATTAATAAGTGAATCGGGAATAGAAAACTTAAGCCAAGTTTCAGAAATTAGAATATTGCTGGAAGAAAAATGTTGCACTGAACACAAAAAACTTTTGAATTTAGCAGTTAGAGAATCCAGATTAGTATACATAAGAGTCCAATCGTTAAATTGTGGAGATTGTCGGCTAGCGGGATTAAAAGGGATTTGTCTTCACCATTTTTGGAATACAATCATGATATTTAATTGTTAGGTTATTTTCGCTATCCCGCTTTTTAGCTTCCAATTCATCTCTTTAGTTTTGAAGAAACTGTTGTTGGGTAGGGGTTTTGTCGACGATAATGGTAATGTTTTTCAATGTGGCTATTTCTAAGACTTTCTTTTTGTTTCGTAGAATGTTTTTTGCGGCGTGTTCGGAGGACATAATTACTCCGAGACATCGGGATAGCGACTTTTTGTTCAGCTTTTCCAACGCGGAAAAAAGTGATAGGTTGATCGGAAGAATTCACTGCTTTCAGTACATTATTAATTTCTGTAGAGTCGTGTTACTTTTTTTCCTCAAAATTTCCGTTAATCTCGGAAATACCACGAATATTAATAGTATTGGCCCTTTTAAGACGATCAACCGCTTCATTTGCCAGTTTATTAAACAAAAATCTTTTTAATGATTTAAATCTTTCTGAAATGATTTAAATCTTTCTGAAATGATTTAGTATCTTTTAAAGGGTTGAAAAATTCCTATTTACCAATCGAAATGACATTTTTAAATAACAATTTTCATAACTATAGATATCAATGCTGCATATTTCCCTAAAATGTTCATCTCGATCGGATATTTATTATTTAAAATTAATATTTATGTAAGAATTGCATTGGGCTAATGAGGATAAAAAATATATACGAGAAAAGTTGATCGATTTTTGCATTTTATTTATGAGAAAATCACATTACTTAAATATTCATTCTCTTTGCGTTTCTGGTTCATATGCCTGCCGAAAGCATTTTTGAAAGAGTATAATAGTTCAAAAAAATCCTAGTTCATTCAACATTTCTTTAACGGAATGAAACGCGTCGCGTTTTACCCAACATTAAAAAATAAATCATTAGTGTTTTCGTTGTAAAATCATAAGTATTTTTATTTAATTGAGCATCGAACTTAGAACTCCTAAAAAGCTTGAATTTTAATGTATAATTTTTGTAGATTATCGACGCAGGTGGCCAGGTCAGGTATCCAAGTTCCTAATGGCTGCCAGAATAGTAGCTGAACAAATGGAGGTAAAGACATATTAACGCCTGAAAATGATATCTTGGAATCATTGGATCCTCATGAAGCCTCAGATGTTTCGGATGATCCCGAATACACGCCATAAGTTTGGAAAATACTAAGAAGAAAAATAAGTTTATTGATTTTTTTAAAATTAAAACTGACAAGAGTAGTAAATCTCTGAATAATTTAAATACTGTATCTGATACCGATGAAACTGATGAATGTTTTAGTCCTAGTCATCAAGAATCATCCAGAAATATTTCTACTGTTAGCGAGGCTAGTTAAAATCAGCTACAATCTTCTTGTGAACCAATTTTGTTTGACGGTACATTTTTTACCATTTTAAGCCATGGTGAGAATTCAGCAATATCAGCCCAATGTCAGAAATGTCTCAATAAAAAAATATTAAAAGGGAGGTACACTTTAACCACTAATTTTCTTAGAAATTTAAAAACTAAACATTCAACAGCATATAACGATTACATAATGTATAAAAGTCAGAAAAAAACAATTTCTAAATCACGAAAAAAAAAGTGAAGAACCTAAAATTTTCATCAAAAACACAATCGGATATCAGAACCAGTTTCGCCCATCCAAAAGTTATATCCCAAGAGCAGTTTGACCAAAGGATTATTCAGTTTGTTATTAATTCCATGAGTGCTGTATCTATAATTAATAATCCCTATTTTGTGCAGTTATTTAAAGAAATGAAGGTAAACGTAATGTCACGAACAACAATTATAAAAAAATTGCAGTTTTAAAAAATAACATGGTAGAAGAAATTAAAACTCTTCTATCAAATACCCAGTTTGTATGCAGTACAGCAGATATTTGGTCTTCTAAAAATCGAAGTTTTATGGGCTCTACATGTCATTGGATTGACACCGATTCCCTTCAAAGAAAATCGGTTGCTTTAGCTTGTAGGCGTTTACCTGGTACACACTCGTTTGACAAAATTGGTGAGATGTTTGAGGAAATATATACTGAATTTGGGCTTAACTGGACTAAGACATTAGCTAAAATTACAGACAATGGGTCAAAATTTGTAAAAGCTTTCAAAGAATATGGGATACAATTAGAAACAAGAGTTATATTAAATTCAATACCATCAAGTATTCAAATTGATAATAAGGATTGTGATACCAATGATAGTATTGAATTACAAGATGATATTTTTCAGCCTGGTGAAGTAAGAGGAAGTGAATATGAACAAAATATTTACTTGCCAAATCATTTTAGATGCGTTACTCATACGTTAAATCTGATTGCTACGACAGACATTATGAATTCCATCAATAAAAATCATACTATAAGATCTAAGCATACAAACATAACTAACAAGTGTACACAACTCTGGAATAAATCAGGACGTCCAAAATCAGCGAAAGAAATAAAAAAAATATTAGGGCATTATCTTAGCTACCCTAGTGCCACTAGGTGGAACAGTTTCTACGACTCTTTGACCCAGATTTTAAAACAAAAAGAAAAACTTAATATCCTTTATGAATCTTTAAATTTAAACAATATGCCCTCAAAGAAAATGAGATAGAATATTTGGAAGAATATATTGCCATCCTAAAACCCTTGGCCTTATCCATAGACATTATCCAAGTAGAAAGTCATACATACTTTGGGACACTTATGCCATCGACAGCGAGTTTACATGTTAAATAAGAAAAAATGAAATCCCTCAACCCAAGACATCTTGGATTTTTAATTGACATTATGCATTAAATCTATTGAAACTCGGTTTTCGATATATTTCGAGAATAATCCTCAATCAGAGATGCCTATAATAGCCACAACACTTTTACCAAAGTTTAGGCTAAGATGGCTAAATTCGTTTAAAAATTTGAATTTTAGTCTTCAAGAGAATCAAGTAAAAAATATGGTGTTAAATGCAGCAAAAGAAAGTTTTGAAAACTGTGCCACACGTGAAGTGATAGATGAAATATATACAGAAAAAGAAGCACCGTCAGTTTCTCACGAATTTGAATTACAATTTCTACAGTACCTGCAGGATCCTTTCAATGATTTGTCCATATTAAACAAGTATACCCTCTTAAAAAAAATGTTTCTAAAATATAATTGTATTTTACCATCTTCCGCCCCCGTGGAAAGAATGTTTTCATATGCCACTTTTATAGATTCTCCAAGTCGGCATGCATTGACCGACAGAAACTTCGAAAATCTTGTACTGTTAAAATCAAATAATATTTAAGGGATGCTTCATGCTGGAAAGTATTGTTTTTTGGATTATTGACAAGTTCTTTAGTTACACGTATTTTATTTTGTATGCTTTAATAAAACTGTTTAAAGGCCTATTTTTTTTTTCTTTATTTATACCGAATATACAAATTTGCCATAAAGTGGTCTTATTGTTTGGTTATATCTATTATGGCAAAATAGGAAGGTTTCGTTTTATGTATTTCTGCAAACTGACAACAATGTTTGAGAACTCTGTAAACTATAATTATCTGCAAAATTTTACATTATTAGTCTTAAACTATTGCTGTAACCAAAAATTTGTGAGTAGTGTAAATGTAACACTGTTTTAATATATTTCATTGACTCCTAAATATACATAAAAAACGATATATTTTTTTTTGTAATTTAAATGCTTTTAAGTGATTTAAATCTATAAAAAGATTTAAATCTTTTAAAAAGATTTAAATCTTTTAAAAAGATTTAAATATTTTGAAAATATTTAAATCGTTTAAAAATATTTAAATCTTTCGAAATGATTTAAATATTTCCAAAAATAATTTAAATTGTAAAAAGGATTTAAATCTAAAAAAGATTTTTGATTTAAATCATTTGTTCAAATGCAAACGATTTATGATCTTTGTTTTAAATCTTTTTCAAAATGATTTTAAACAGCTCTGCTGACTACTTAGCCTTAATTTTAGGAGTCTTGATTCAAGACGCCAATATTTTTTATTCTGTAGTGTTGCTACTTAAAACAATACATTTTAAATTCGATTTTTCATGTATGCTCCATAGTCTTAATTTTGTAGTTCCCCGAATAGCTTCCAAAACACGCGTACATGTTTACACCTAGAAAAAATATTGTTCTGTTAAAATCCCCTTTATTCACTATATTTAATAACTATAAATCAGTAAGTTGCCACCTTGGTTTATTTTATAGTTTAATTTTGTGTATCTTGCAAATTTTATAAAACCTATAATTTTAGCGTTAGCAAACAATGACGTTAATTTCATAAATTCTGGAGAAGGTATGAAGTCAGAATGTTACTGAGGTATGTGATAATTGACATATCATTTAAAATTCGTCTCTAACCAACCCAGAAATTAATTGATAATTCTCACACACTTTCTAATAACCCTTCAAGCTAATCACTTCCTACTCAATCACACTAAATCATCGTCAAAAGTACAGGACAAAACCGTTCCATTTACGAATTAAAATTGATTGTCAGCTCTTTTAGCAAAGTAGCTCCGTGCTAATTAAATTATTTGCGGAGGTATTTCAAAGGCGTTCGTAAATTAATAACATTCACTTTTATGTTGAAATTTATAAGCGTAATAGCTTTTCGCTTTGTTAAGGGCTCTATATTTGTTTTTTTTTTTTAGTCCGACATGTTGGTGTATCGCAGCCGGAAGGTTATTTCAAAGCGTAATCTTGGAAAGTAACGAACAAAAACTAAAGGAGAAAGACCTTTAAAAATTCAGCGTTTTACGTGATTAATAACATTGGATAAATACTTTAATTTAATGTTTATCAAACGAATCCCGTGTTGAATATGCTGGATCTAACTCCTCTCAACGTATTCCTGAAAAGGGAGGTTAGGAAGATCTCCTACAGACTCCTGATGGTGGGTGTTCTTTTGCAAAACTATCTGTATATATTTTACCTTCTGGGTTGTTTCTAAAGTTTTAAATTGTTATGGTTTTTGAAGTTTGTTAAACAACATATTTTGACTTGTATGAATTTTTGAGAATGCCTTTCGGTATGCGAAATTCAGCCCAAACGTTTCAACGTTTTATAAATGAAGTTGTTTCTGGTTTACCTTTTCTTTTCGTTTGTATAGATGATATATTAGTAGCAAGCAGAGATGAAAAAGAACATTTAGTACACCTTAAAACTCTGTTTGAGCGACTCATTTGTTTCGGAGTTAATCTTAAACCAAATAAATGCATTTTTGGATCTCAAAATATAATATTGCTTATCTATACTGTTTCTTCTCATGGTGTCCTCCCATCAGAAGAACGTGTAGACATTATAAGAAATGTATACGTCCTCAAAATCTCAAACAACTACAACGTTTTGTAGGAATGATCAACTTCTATTACAAATTTATTAAGGACTTTGCTAAATCACTTATTTCTCTATACAGGGTTGGGCATAATTGGCGGAACACCCGATTTGTGGCTCAATTATGGATTGTATTGAAAATTAACCCAAATAAAGTTTTTTGTATATTTTATGTACTATTTAATGACGCTTGGGGATTTTCATTATCTGTCATATTTATCAAGATATGACGGTCATCGGATGAAATTTTAAATGAATCACCCTATATTTATATTTTTTTTCAGATAGATCTTTTCTTTCTGAATCCATTAATGTAAGGTTTGAGGGTCTCCGAGTTCATAACAAAATAGAAAGTAAACATTTATTTAATAAAAAATAATAATTATTATCAATCGAAGTATTACAAATCTCTCAAAGTAAGTGTTCGAAGTGAAAGCCTCCAACTGCCTGACAATATCCTAGTCTATCAACAAATGATCTTAAGGCATTTTGATAAACTTCAGGTGTTATTTCTTGAACAGCAATTCTTATTTTGTATTCCAATTCTTCCAGCGAATGTGGCAGGTCCTTATAAACTACTGATTTCAAATGGCCCCAAAGAAAAAAATCCAGTGGGGTTAAATCCGGTGACCGTGCCGGCCACTCAATATGTCCTCTTCGACCCACCCATCTCTGTGGAAATATTGTGTTCAGGTACTGCCTCACTCTAGCATCGAAATGAGGTGGAGCACCATCTTGCTGGAACCAAATTTCATCAGAAAGTTGTAAGTGATTTCTGTGATTTGGATATAAACGAACTAACTCTGGAACTATCTGCTCTTGAAGTAGTTGCAAATAACGATCACCGTTCAGAGTTCCTCTCATGAAGAATGGTCCAATAATTCTTCCTCTAACTATACCAGCCCAAACATTTAACTTTTGTGGATATTGGGTGTGACCTTCTTCCATCCAGTGAGGATTATGATCAGACCAATACCGGCAATTATGTTTATTTACAAATCCATTGAGACAAAATGTTGATTCGTCGGAAAAAACAATGCTGTTCATCAACATATTATTTCCATTAATGGCATCCATCATTACCTGGCAGAATTGCATTCGCCTATCTGGGTCATCTTCATTCAATTCCTGGTGTAATTGCACTTTATAGGGATGAAATTTATTGACTTTCAGAATCCTCCTTACAGATCTCTCGCTCATATTATTGTCTAACGCAAGCTTTGGAACTGAAGTTTTTGGTTCTTCCTGTACACTTAGAACCACATTAAGTGCATTTTCTTCATCAGTGGCTGTCTTCTTCCGTCCAGATCTGGGATTATTTTTCACACTTCCTGTTTCATTAAACTTGCTCAAATTTCTGGATACTGTAGATTTAGAAATCGGGGAAATCCTGTCAGGAAATGTTTCATTGAACAAATTACAAGCTTCTTGCAGAGATCTCTTTCTGTCTCCAAACCCAATAATCATCAATAGTGTAATTATTTCACGTTCACTCAGTTCAACCATGGTTTAAATTAATAAAAATTCTCAATAGTATCAAATGCTAAGAGTTATTTATTTTCGCGTATTGGGCTAGTTTGGGTGAAATGAATTGACTTGCAATTAAACTCAACTTGTTTGATTGTCTCCATAAACCAGAATGAATTAAAATCTACAGATTAATAAAAGGTGACAATAGTTTTTATAATATTATAAAAACCAAGTAAACAGTAACACAAAAACATTGGTAGGTATTTCTGTCAGAGATGTACAATAATCGTATTAATAAAACTCAGTGATTAATATCGAGATGTCAATATTACATTTTAATGTCAAAAAATGAAACCATGGCAAAACAATTGATATTGGTACATTATGATGGCACAGACAACTTTGTGAATAGTTATTCATTAATTATTTAAAAGAACGTTTACCATTTTGTTTTATTATTTTCTGATGATAAGGAAAATCAGAGACCACCCGAACCCCATATTGATGGATTCAGAAAGAAAAGATCTATCTGAAAAAAAATATAAATATAGGGTGATTCATTTAAAATTTCATCCGATGACGTCATATCTTGATAAATATGACAGATAATGAAAATCCCCAAGCGTCATTAAATAGTACATAAAATATACAAAAAACTTTATTTGAGTTAATTTTCAATACAATCCATAATTGAGCCACAAATCGGGTGTTCCGCCAATTATGCCCAACCCTGTATAAAGTAATCACTACATTACAAAACTAATCTGATAAAACTATCAGCCGTTGGTCTGATGAATATGAAA